GACAAAATTGTCAAAGGCAGTGGTTCCAGCTCTGACTGTGTAGACTACTCCAAGACCTTTTGAACCAGATCCCTGGAGAGGGGCTGAGAAATCTTCATTTTTAGTAAGTTACCCAGGTGATTCCAGTGATGATCAAATTGCAATAAATATTTGAATTAAACAGAATTAACTATAGATTTGTGTTAAGTGCATTTTGTTTTAGGTTTCTTGTAAATTTGTGATCTGTGTACACTTTTTTTTTTTTAATCCAGCTTATAGTTAGTCAGGATGTTCAGTTCTCCCCAAATTCTGTATTTAAAAAAAACCCAAACCCCTTGTGTCAAGTCCAGTTCTTGGTGACCCCGTGTGTCTCAGAATAGAACTGCTTCATAGAGTTTTCTTGGCTGTAATCTTTACAGAAGCAGTTCCCCAGGCCTCTCTTTCATGGCGCCACTGGGTGGGTTTACCAATCTTCAGGTTAGTAGTCAAGCAGAATTCTGTATCAGTGAGAGAAGTTTTCAGATAAAATACATCATTCATTTGTACGTAAAGGAATTCATATACATTTTCTCGTTAAAAAAATTCTTTTTCACTTCTTTTTTAATTATACAACTAATTTGTGAACAAGTTTTCATGAAAAATTTCAGCAATACAAGGTAAAACTCACTCTTAATTCCTTCCCCGATTCTCCACCCCCCCCAACCCAGAGGTAAACATAGCTGTCGATTTGCTGTTTTCCTCTTCTGAACTTCTTAAATGCATTTACATATTTTTAATTTAATTTTCTTTTTTCATATAAATACAGTATAAATTGTTTCGAAACTTTCCACCTTATTTATCTTGGGGGGTGTGTGTGTGTGTGTGTGTGTGTGTAGGTATATGTGTGTGTGTGCGTGTGTGTGCATGCATATTCATTCTGCATAGAGTCCTGTAGTACACATGTGCCACCGTTTATTTAAGTATCCTACTATTAATAGATGGACATTTAGGTTGCTCTCTCTTTTTTTTCCTTATTGTAGACGACCACTGAGTGAACGTCCTTGCACGTGCCCCCTTGTGCCTGTGTGCCAGTTGTTCTTAAATAAGGAGCTGTTCTGCTTTGCTCTCCTTTCCAGTTCAGGTTCACAGACAATATTGGATAGTCTGTGTACATCTTCTCTTTTTTGTTTTCACTTTGGTGTGGCCAGAAAATCACAGAATGAAGTCAGAAGTCTGGATTCTTGACCCAGCTCAGCTGTTGAGTTGCTCTGTTATGTTGGACCTTTTTCCCCTTTGCTATGTGAAGAAGTTAGATGGGATAGCTTTTAGGATTCCTTACAGTTCGAGTAATCTCTTAATCTAATTAGGCTTGTGATGCCAATAATTTTTGTGTAATATTTAGCTAGTAGCAAGTACCCTTTGAATCTTGTAAAGCAAATCATAAATGTACACAGTGATTTTATGAATAAAGGGCATTATACTTTACTCTGCATGAGTCTTCTGCTTTCTTAACTGATGTATGAATGCCATGTCCAGATGTTGTAGTAGTAATAGTAGTAGTAGTAACAATAACAGTAATAAGAATAATACCCTTTTTCTTTTGGACAGTGCTTGACAGTTTACAGAGAACTGTCACCAATACTAGCTCGTTTTTAAGTATTATTATCCTTGTCTCACAAATCCTTAGAAATTAAAAGATTTTGTCAAGATCATTCAACTGATGAGTTTTAGAGCCCAGACTGTGCCTCACATCTTTTGAGTGCTAAATTCACTATTCTCTTAAAGATAAAATATCCTCATCTTCAAAATACTCATTTAATATACACTAAATTTCTTCCGTTTATACAGTGATTAGTATTTATTAGGTGCTCTTTAAATGTTAGTTTCCCACTGCTAACCTTTTCCTCCCTCCTAGTTTATTTTACATTTTGTGTCATCTTAAAGGGTGGTAGTTGTGGCTCTGTTGAGTTATATCAATCCTAGACATCAAGATGACCAACGCTTTTGAGTCGATATCTCTTGAGGTTCAGGAAATGTGTTACATAAGTAGTTGTGGTTATTGCTACCCTTCAAATCACTTGACACAGACCATAAACATTCAGCTCTGGTGCATGAAAGATGGATTAGAGGCCAAGCTTAGCTTGTCCACAGGCTATCTGTTTCATCTTCGCGACAGAACCCAAGAGTGCCAGTGATGATTCATGGGAATATTTAATGATGAAGAATGGCTTTGTTTTTGTTGGAAATCTTTGAAAGAATGCTCATCAAAGTGTGGATTCTTTACTTTCAGATGCTTTCTTCCTTACATACAAGCACTGAACTGAAGTTATTACTTACAGAATACCCTTTTACCAAAAGGTAATAGGGCCCAATTCAGTGCGACCATTGAGGCTACAGTGTGCTGCTTTAAGCACTTTCTTGCTTAAGTTTGTCTACTACCTGTAAAACAAAGTATATCTCCTTTATAGCACTTTAATTGTTCAGAAATATACAACACTTTTTTTTCATTGCATCGATTTTCTTGAATAAAAGAAAGAGCTATTATTGTATTTTTATGCAGATACATGCACCTTCTGCGTTTGTTTGCCGACTGCCCCCTCGATGTATTTTTGTGAGCACACTCTGCTAATTGTTTTTACAGCAACATGTAAAGAAAATTGGCATAGTGGCGCTTACAAAACTATCTCTGGGGAGAGGGAGCAGTTGGCAAATAAACATAGAAGATGCTTGTTATTTGCATAAAAATACAGTAGAAATTTGTGAAATCCAGTACTGTCCCTTTGCAAACAGTGATATTAATCCTGCAGCTATGTGCAGAATAGAGTTCTCTAGACCTATGGGAAGTTTTCATGTTTTAGTATTCCCATTTCCCTCGCCCTACAATCTCCATCTCTCTCCCCAAAAATTATTAAAGGAGAGAGAAAAGATGAGAGAAACAGAGGCAAACACACGTGGAGACCATTTGTAGCTTTTCTACATTTTTTTCTGTTTCTTGTAAATTTTTTCCCTCCTCCTCTTCTTTTTTTTTTTTTCTATTTTTAAAATTTTCCCTGTGTCTGTATCTACTACAACCCCCACTGTGTTGACTACCGCACTCAGTCCCTCTTACCCTCCCTCCTGAGAACTCCAGTCTTCTTAGTTGTTCCTTGACCTATATGAGCACACATACACAGTTCGCTGGAGCCAAGGTTCTCATCTGCCAGTGCACTTCTGGAGTGAAGTGTCAGGGTGATTTATTACTAATTATGAGTACCCAGGTTGTAAGCTCGCTATTTTTTTAAAGTAGACTTGAGCTTAGCTGTGTAATAATGTCCTGTCACCCACTTGGATGCAGAAATGCTTTCCTGAGTGGGAGAGAAAGAGTAACAGCCCAGCTAGTCGTGGAATTGTACATCCAAGCTTATCCACAGAGCTGTGGGAGTGTGTGGAGCCTGCACATGTCATTGGCCTCGTGGGGTTTTTTCTCAGCAGAGAAAAAGGTCAAAACTTTAACTAAAACGCAGGCCAAAGTCCCCACCTAAGGTTTTTGTTATTTTTTTTTAAGCAAGGCAGGGAGGCGCATGTGCCTTGACCATATGGTATTAAAAGGTGAATAAATCCTGGAAAAAGACTGTTTCTCTGTAATAGAGGTTGTTGTTGTTGTTGTTGTTGGGTGCCGTCAAGTCAATTTCCATTCATACCGACCCCCTCTGACAGAGTAGGGTTTTCTAGATCTTTTGGGGAGCAGATCATCAGTTCTCTCTTTTATTCATTGACTACTGACTTCAAAGCTGTTGAGCCTGAGAAGAGAAATAAAAGATGCTCATTCATTAATCCAACAAATGCTAATCGGACATTCACAGAGAACCATACCTTGTGCTGAGCTATGGGAATATGAAGACATAAAAAAAGAGAGATAGATCCTGTGTTATGCCTTTAATGTCTTTTTTTTTAGCTTTTAAAAATGAATTATCTTTACTGTACATATATCTTTTTAAAAATGCATATTATTTGGTATTCTTTAGTAATACTATGAATGTTCGACCTCATGCTTCTTCTTAAATCAAGGAATTCTCTTATGGTGTTCTTACTGGAAACTCTGACTTTATATTCCACAGCTCCACAAAGAAAAGATACAGCTTTTCTTGTATGAGAGATTGATACTTGAGGATTGTGCCTATTTTTGTCCCCCTTGGTTTTACAGATAGACACATACACAAGGCAGGGAGCAGCAGATTAGGCATCCAGAGACTTGAGTTCTCATGACAGCTCTGCTGCTAAGACCCCACTTGCCCAAAGGCAGGCTGAGGCCCATCTAAAATTGGGGCTGGAGTGGAATACATTCTTCTGGGTTCTTTCCAGTCCTTGCAGTCTGTAAGGGTGTTCCATCTCCTTGATTTTAACATTTTTAATGGACTTAATTTCCTAATGAGGACATGTGAATAAAGTGTGAGATGTAGCACATATTACATCTTTCACATTAATATAAAATGCATTCTAGAATGCACAAGGTATGGGGAAGAGGTGATTGGATGTATGAGCCAATAGTTGTTCAAATGGATTGTGAAATTAGATGTTAAAAAACTGAAAGGTGGAAGAGCAACTGGTATCTTGAAGAGGAAATGGAATATTTCTTATACAAGAAGGTATTGATGTCCTATTTAAAACATATACGTATGTATATAGGGAAATCCTTGATAAGTGAAGAAGCAGCTGAGATGAGAGGCTTAGGGGCGTGGATTACTGTTGTGAGATTGATGAGTGAATCTGGTAGCTATAGGTCTCAGAGGATGTTGCCCAGTAAGATTATGATTCCGTTAGGACAGTATGATATGGAGTCTGGGGAGATGCTGCTTCCTGATTCATCTACCTGGTCTACAAGATGGCCAACATACACTGTTAAATCCGTGTGTATTTAAAATCTCTCCATTAGTTTTCTTTTTTTTTTAACCTTCCAGGATTCTTTCATAAGGTAAGATAATAAAAAATGTCAAATACATATATAAAGCCTGTGTTTATGTTATAGTGCTTTATTTTTTATCGTTTTTCCTTTTTTTTTCCAGACCATCCAGACCTTTCAAGTTACCAAAAAGGTAAAGTGATCTGGGTCATCTTATTAACTAATAAACTTACCTGCATGCTTTTTCCCCTTCTAGTGTTTTCCCCACGTTTTGCTACTGTTTCCAGCTTCCCCATTCTTATTTTTTGTGAAGGAAAAAAAAAAGTTCCTTGGAGTTGGCTGCTTAAGGAATGCTGTGTCTCTAAAAGTGGTTTTAATCTCAAGGTAGATTTTTAGCTTTTAAATTTTATTTGTGTTTAATCATTTATATGTGGCTAATTAGTTTACATTCCTTCTTGTAGTAGATTGACTTCTCAGTGTCTTAGAGGTACTGTTCTGCCAACTGCCATGATTTGAATTCATGTCAGTTTATTTTCAGTGGTTTATCTGTGTTTCTTTTTCATATTTTGATACTGTGTTAAGACTGGAGATATTCTTTTATGTGAAAATATTTTTGTCTTTTCAGTAGAGAAGCAAGTTTTAAATGGATAAGAGTTTCAGAAAAAATACAGTCTCATCAGATGTCCTTTTACTTAGTGGTTCCAGATATACTATCATTACAGAAATTCAGTTGCCAAGGAAACTCAGATGCTCTTAACTCTGAAGCATCTTTTTGAAGTAAAGTTACTACATAAGTCTTAATTAATAAACTCCCCTGTCATTTTACAAATACACACACACACAAACACACACGTATTCATATTTATATACATACTCATTGCCATTGAATCAATTCTGACTCATAGTGACCCTATAAAGTAGAACTGCCCCATAGGATTTCTTAGGCTGTAATCTTTACAGAAGCAGACTGCCATATCTTTCTCCCACGGAGCAGCTGGTGGATTCAAACCATTAACCAGTTGGTTAACAGCCAAGGGCTTAATCACTGTGCGCTCTCTCTCTCTCATATATATATATATATATGAGAGAGAGATATATGGAGAAGAGGTTATGCAAGTAAATATGACATATTAAGAAAATGAATTTCCATTTTTTTTAGAAATAATAGGGCCTTCTCAAATCACTGAAAATTTTGCATTTTGAGAAGATTCATATATTTTTTTCTCTATTAGACTGGTATTTCTAAAAAAGTGTTAAAATCACTTCTTTTTAATATATACACATAGAAATACGGCTTCTTCCCACCCCAGCTTTAGGTAATCTATGCATTGAATTCACAGAACATTTTTTTGGTGAATTGGACACGTATCTCTTTTTACCTAGTTTTGTAGGTATTTATATACCTGTCTGGTTTTCCTTATTAAGCTATGGGGCAAGATCCATGTCTGCCATTTTTGTTTTCTTTTGTGAAAATTTTCAAGCTTCAGTTGTTCCTCTCTACTAAGTCAAGAGTTGATGCCACTGGAAGAGTCGTGATTAGTAACATTTTGAAATGCCTGCTCTTCAGGGGCAAGAGGAGTAAGGAACAGTCATTAAGAAAACAGAAAGGAAGAAACTGAGGGAGAAGAGATTTTTAGAAAGAAAGGAGTAGTTAATAGTGTTATATAGAGCTCAGGTCAGGGAAGATGGGAACCAAGAATGAAAAACTCAACCCAAACCCTTGTCATCAAGTCAATTCCGACTCACAGCGACCCTGTAGGACAGAGTAGATCTGCCCCATAGGGTTTCCAAGGAGCAGCTGGTGGATTCCAGCTGCCAGACTTTTGGTTAGCAGCCAGACTCTTAACCACTGCACTACAAGGGCTCCAAACCAAGAATACTTAGTTGATTTTGACGGTTTCAGAAGAATCATGAGAGCAGAAGCCAGGCTACAGAGGGTTGAGAATTGAGTGGTTGGTCTGGAAATGGGAGGCAGCAAGTCTCGAGCACCTTATGCTCTCAGAAGCATGGCTTTGGGCTCAGAAGGGAAGGATGGTTTGAGAAAGGCAGCAAAGGGCAAGGGAAAAAAAAAACTTTGTAAGCTGAGACCTTGGTGTCCAAGAGCCTGTAGACCAAAGGAAGGAACCATCAGAAAAGAAAGTGAAAAAACTAGAGCTAGAAAGTGGGCACTCGGTAAATGGTAGAGAAGTGAATGAATGGATGAGCGGCACCCCAGAGAAGAGTCAAGAGCACAGTAGAGGAGCTGCTTCTCCAGAGACTAGTACAGAAAGAGAGAATGAGAAATACATAAAGACTAAAATAAATAAAAACAGGAAACTTCCTAAGTGTGGTACAGAAACTAAATTTCAGGAGAAGATCTTTGAAATTTATGAAGAAAACCTTGATTTTTAAATCCCAGCATTCATATCAGTTTATCTTTGACTCTCATAGTCATTTAAGATACTGATGACTGGGATTATTTGGCCAGTGTTACAGATTTGGTAAAACCGAGGTATAAATCAGTCAAGTTATGAATGTGGAGTTTTAAGCAGTAGGAAGTACTAGATTACCCAGCTTTTAAGGATCTGATAAAAGAGGCTTAAAGCGTTCTCTGAAGCATGGCTTACACACAGATTTCCATGGTTAGGTGGGAATGCTGATGCTCAGGGAGGTGGGATGGGCTGACTAGGGAATGAGTCAGAGACTGATCTAGAAATAGATTTCATGAAAACCTGACTCTTCTTTGAGACTCCAAACCAGAGAACACATTTTTGAAATCAGGGTATTCCTTAATCAAATAATATTCTAAGGTAGATTGAACTTAAGTGTACTTATTAAAGCAAAGTTTTTCGAGAAGTTATCTTGGCGTCCTCTGTATGAATCCACAGAGAAAAGGAAATGTACACGTTTTTTATTTCATGCTGACCAAGTGCAGTGTTCATGTTAGGTCTAGATCCTAACGTGAAGAATTAAAGAGGCTAGGCTACTGGACAGTGAATAAGGAAGACTGAAGAAGAATTGACGCCTTTGAATTATGGTGTTGGCGAAGAATATTGAATATACCATGGACTGCGAGAAGAACAAACAAATCTGTCTTGGAAGAAGTACAGCCAGAATGCTCGTTGGAGGCAAGGATGGCAAGACTTCATCTCACGTTCTTTGGACATGTTATCAGGAAGGACCAGTCCTGGAGAAGGACATCATGCTTGGTAAGGCAGAGGGTCAGCGAAAAAGAGGAAGGCGCTCAACAAGGTGGATTGACACAGTGGCTGCAACAATGGACTCAAACATAGCAATGATTGTGAGGATGGTGTAGGACTGGGCAGTGTTTCATTCTGTTGTACATAGGGTCGCTATGAGTCAGAATTGACTCGACAGCACCTGACGTCAACAACAGTAACAAGGCTATTCTAAATTTGAAGGAGCCCTAGTGGCATAACGGTTAAGCACTCGGCTGCTAACTGAAAGGTTGGCGGTTCAAACCCACCCAAAGGCTCTGTGGAAGAAAAGACCTGGTGATCTGCTCCTGCAAAGATTACATCCTGGAAAACCCTGTGTGGCAGTATCTACTGTGTCACATGAGGTCAGTATGAGTTGGAATCGACTTGGTGGCCCATAACAGCAACAACATTTCACATTTGAGAAATTCAGAAGTAATAAAAAGTAAAAGGTAATTTTTACAGTGAAAGCACCATAACAGCCAGAACTAAGAAAGATATAGGAATGGTATCACTATTTGAAAAATATATTGAGGAGTAGAAGGTACTGTAATACAAATGGCCCTTTTAGAACAAGGCCCCCATTTAATGTCAATTTAACATAAATTGGGTCAGTAAGACACTTGGTGTACTTGCTTTAACAGTTATTTCTCTCTCTGTTTTTTAATATTTTATTGTGTTTTTGGTGAAGGTTTACATAGAAGTTTAGGTTCCCATTCAACAATTTCTACACAGATTGTTCAGTGACATTGGTTGCATTCTTCAGAATATGTGAGCATTCTCAATTATTTCCATTCTGATCGTTCTGTTTCCCTTAATCTAGTTTCCCTGCCCTCTTACATTCTCATTTTTGTTTTAAAGTAGCTGTTGACCGTTTGGGCTCATATAGTTGATTTTTTTAAGGAGCGAGTACTTATGGGTGATATTCATTATTTTGTGAGCCAATCTGTTATTTAGCTACAAGGTGACTTCAGGGGTTAGTGTCAATTCAGGGTTTGAAGAGTTTCTCAAGGCAGTTGTTTGTTTAGGAATTTGAGGTTCTTTAACAGTTATTTCTGATCTATTCCAGAGTAAACCCATAGTAAGGTGACTGAGAGTCCATGAGTATATTTGAGGGACTTCCCATGGTATAAGCATGACAACCCTAGCGTGGCAGTAACACCTGACCAGGCCGTCAGGCGGGCCGCACACTAGCTCAGGGCTGCACGCTAGCTCAGTGCTGCCGCTTACCCACGAACACACTCATTCACCCTGCTCCTTCTGTTTCATCTCGCAGTCAGAAAGGAGGATGAGCCCTCCAGATATGTGTACTGCTGGAGACTTTGCCTTTTGAGATGATGGGAACATTTATAGTGGACAGAGCTGCAGGCCCTACCCTAGGCAACTGGGACAGCAGTAGGGCCTTGGGGAAAACTCTCACCTGGTCATTCACTGACAGATGATTGCCTGCTGCACCCCAGGTGTTGACTCAGGGGGACTGCATTACAGTGATGTAGTGGTGGTGTCTAAAGATTCCCAAAATTAGTGCAGCGGGAAGAGCATGTTATAGGAAAGGAAATGGTCTTTTAAAAATTCTTGTAATGCACGTGTGGGTCACTTTTCAAATAATGTGCAAGTACTTGATTCTTTGAAACTTAGGTGGAATATATACCTTGAAGCCAGAGTCTCCAGGAGTGGAAATAGCATGCTTAAAAGAGATATGGCCATGAGATTTACAGGCCATTTTTAATTTCCTTTACTTCTCTGGTTTTCTTGCCTTATTAGATTTTATCTTGATATTACAGCCATTGTCTGGATCTCTTGTTGTACATGAACTTTTGTTTCCTGTGTGGTGCCCACAGCTACGTGATAGCAGAGTCGGCGGGAGGGGCAGAAATATCCTTAGCAGTTGTGTGGTATTTAGGAGAAACACATGAGTAAAGTGTACTCAGAATAGCTGGGGCTTCCCACCATGGTGCTTCATGGACTCAGGATGGCAGTCCCATTCCTTACGTGTGAACAGTTGTTCCTAGGAAAGGTTAGCGTGCAGAACATCTGCTGGGTGAGGAGGTGGAATTGTAATATAATCAGGTTAAAAGTGTTTGGAAGAAATGTGCTGAAATCTCTCATGCCATAAACTTTCCATATGTAATAAGTGCACATAGATGGTGTATAGCAGCACTATAAAATCAAAACCAAATGTTTTCAAAGAGAAGAAAAGCAATTACTGAATGAATTTGTAAGGTTGCTGTACAGTGCACATGTGTGCAGATTTTTCAGGAACACAAAACAGAAAGTCATTATGTGGGGAAATTAAACCACAGTCTGAAAGAAAACCATGCAATTTGCAACCCGCTGCTCTCTATTGATAACGTGTTTATAGGTAAAAAATGCCTAACTTCTGGCTCATTTTAAAGAACATCGATTCATGTAAAATAAAGTATAATGAGTAATTTTGTAAGCCTGGGGCATTTTCATTTCAGAGGGCTGATATTTTAAAGCTATAAAATGTAAAGGACTCTTTTTAAGTCTGAAGCAATGAATAGAGAGTCTAAAACATGCAATGAGACAAAGGACCTTGTTGCTTCAAAACCGGTGGCTTTCATCTTAGTTTGCATTTGGTGGAGGAGGAAGTAATGTGTGGGGAATATTTTTTGCACTGGGCGTGTGCTAGAAATGTGGAAGCTTCTGACCACTGGTGTTTACATTTGCACAACCACAATCAGCATGCTATGATTTATGTGTTTTCATTGCATTTAAAATTAGTCCTAAAAGGTTATTCCATCTTAACTAGCATAATTTTTCCTTAATGAGTTTTTAAATCCAGAATTTGCAGCCTAGTGAATAACGTTCAAACTTGGAGTCCTATGGACTGATGTAATTTTACATAGAGAAATTAACTCTTAGTGTGGCATAGGAATTTAATTTTTAAACGTGAACCTGGGGAAGCAGGCATTTGAGGCAAGTTTAGTTATTCCGAACGCCTTTAGTCTCTCTTGTGTTTAAAGAGAGAATGGATAGCGTAGTGGCCAAGACGCCAGACCTGAATATCTGGGCTCCTAGCTTTGTGACTTTGAACACGTTCCTTAACCTGTCTGTGCCCCAGTTTCATCTCATAAGGTTGTTGTGAGAATTAAGTGAGGGGATAACCTGTGTAAAGCACTGGAGCGACTGGTATACTCCCTAAGTGTTTACCCACTACTCCTGCCTTCGAGTCAGTTCCAACTCAGCGAGCGACCCTTCTGGACAGAGTAGGACTGCTCCATAGGGTTCCCAAGGCTCTAAACTTTACGGAAGCAGACTGCCACATCTTCTTCCCAAGGAGCACTGGTGGGTTCAAACCTCCGACCTTTCAGTTAGCAGCAAAGCGCTTTAACCACTGCACCACCAGGGCTCCTTCAGTAAATGTTAACTATTATTATGTATTTATTTTTGTAAGATTACTTTAAAGGAACAAGAAGGAAAAAATGTCTGTGCAAGTGCTCCTTTAAAGCATAAACGTGTGGTATTTAAATTTCCTGATTACAGTTGTAATTTGAAGTAAATTCCCCCACAAAGCCAAACCTGTGAGGTTAAGAGGCCAGAATACAAAAATCAGCAGTCTATTCCTAGAGACATATTCACTTTTTCCAGAATGACATTCAGAGCCACCAGCCTAATTTGTAGCCTTGAGCATGATTTCGAAGAAATAGCACAAATGATTACGAAGCCAATTTCAGATGAGCCAGAAATTGACATCACAACAGCCAAATCAGCTAACGTTGTTGTGAATTTGAGAGTAATGGCCCACAAATTAAATGGTTTTTTTCCTCCCCCTTCTAATAAAGATTCAAGAAACCTGAAGTTGGCATAATACATTTTGAATTTTAGAAAAAGTTCAGTCAATTTCTATTGGCTACTCAGCTCATATCAAGACCTGGAAGTATCAAGATAATACGACATGGTCCAGGCCCTCCAGGGCCTTCTGGAGTGGGGTACAGAAACAGATCGTTCAGTAGAAGGTAGTGAATGAGAGGGTGGAAGGGCATCTGGAAGAAAAGGTCTTGACTGTAGGATGTAGAAATGCAGAGGCGAGCTTCAGAGGCTTAGGAAGATAACTAGAGTCCCTGGGTGGTGCAAATCGTTAACACACTCGCTGTTAACCTAAAGGTTGAAAGTTTGAGTCCAGTCAGAAGCACCACGGGAAAAAGACCTGGCAGTCTACTTCCAAACAAACAGCCTATGGAGCACAGTTCTCCTCTGACACACGTGGGGTCACAAGGAGTCAGAATCAACTAATTGGCCCTTGGTTTTTACCAGTAGTAAAACTGTAGTGGGTTGGAGAGTGAAAGAGTGGTAAGTACATGGGTGTTTGTTCCTTTATTCAATAAATATTTATTGAACACTTTGTAAAAATTACTTTTCTAGGCACTGATACAGCAATAAACAAAACGTACAGATTTCTACCCTCATGGAACTCACAGTCTAATGGATATGTCCATTATATTTTTGTAGTTTCTGTGTTTTTATGTTATTTTCTATGTACATATGATTTTTTTTTTCCCAAGAGCACATGGAACGTGAGGGAATGGAGGCAGGGAGTAGATGCCTCCCGCAGGAATCTTAGCAGAGAACGCAATGACAGCAGGACAGTAACTAGAAGGAAGGTTATAGGTTTATGGGAAGTTTTTGGTTTGGATTGTTTTGTTTGTTTGTTTAAGATTTACACTATGTGAACTTGTTTATAGACTGAGTTCTTTTTCAAGAGCTGATAGAGCAAAAATGTGAAGAAAAGGAATAACTCAAAAAACAAAAATTTTAGAAAAGATTGGAAGAAGGCTGGTCCTCAGTTAAAATGTATGTTCACTTTTCTTTCCACTTAACGAAGTTTTACATATTCTTTTCCCCAGTATAGATGGAGGTATAAAATGTTATTTGTTAGACATAGAAGTTATTCTGACTCTTACGTAGCCTGTGGCATATGACCACTACTACTTTATCACAAAAATGAGAGAGGAAAATGATCTTGTAAGTTTGTACCTCAGTTACATATAAATACTCATAAATTACATTAGATCTTTTATTGATAAATACCTGTCCAAAAAACCCCCAAAAACCAGTTGTCGAGTCATTTCTGACTCATGGTGACCCTATGTGAGTCAGAGTTGAACTGTGCCCCATAGGATTTTCAATGGCTGATTTTTTGTAAGTGGATCACCAGGGCTTTCTTCCGAGGTGCCTCTGGGTGGACTCAAACTACCAACCTTTTGGCTGGCAGTCAAGCATGTAGCCCTCTGCACCACCCAGGAACTCCAAATACCTGTACTAGGTCCTAAATAATGACTTAAAAAGTTGCTGTCTTAGGAATCAGAGCACTTTGTGTTGCTTCTAAAAGGCCTTTGTGATTCTCTCTGCTCCTGTAGCTACGCAGCCCTGATAGCCGACTGGCCTGTGGTGGTGTTGGGCACGTGCACCGTGTTCACTGTGGTCTGTGCCCTGGTTGGAGTGTTAGTGCCAGAGCTTCCTGACTTCTCGGATCCATTGCTGGTAAGGAGGACTGAGCCAGAGGAGTTTGTTTCTCTCTTTTAGTCCAAAAATCATCTCAAAAAATGAAGTATTTCAATACATGTTGCATGTACCCCATTTCTTTTAAAGCCTCTCGCGGCCATCGGTCAGCGTATAACTGTTTCTGAAAACTAAAGACACGTCTTTTACCTGTATTCTCAGGTTCGTCCGAGTGAAGGAACTTGGTTGCCATCCATAGTCTGGAGATTTTGCTTGTTGGTCCCCATGTTTAAGCTAAAAAGTTGGAGAATCTGAGTACTATAAACAACATTTTCATAAAGTCTTTAAGACTACCTTTTTTTCCCCCAAAAAAGTTAAAAGACTCAGTATTCCTAGCAGAGAGCAGGATCCGTTTTTAGCTAATTGCGAGCACCTGAAGTGGAATGATGAGGGAAAGAATGTATTTGCATCAAGGATAATGATACGCTTTGTAAAACTCTCTAACATGCATAACATAATTTAATTTGACCATTTTTTTAATAACATAAAAATAAGTATTTACTAAATGTTTAGGTGTATAAATTAGAAAGATAAGCTTTGATAAACCTTTCTCCTCTTTCCTGAGACGTGTACCGTAACAGAATCAAAACTGTCGTCACGGTAAATAGGTGATCATTATCATGTCATCCTGTTTTTTACTGCAGCTCACCTCCAGAGTAGCTGTGAGGAACGTCTGTATTTTCTGTTGAAAACTATGCATCACCTTGACATTGCCTTCCCAAGCTGCTATTACAACTACACTTAGCCTGAAATGAATTATGCTAATGGGGATTTGTAATATTTTGCCTTAGGGTTTTGAACCAAGAGGGACCGCGATAGGCCAGAGACTGGTCACGTGGAACAACATGGTGAAAAATACGGGATACAAAGCAACATTAGCAAATTATCCTTTTAAATATGCAGATGAGCAAGCCAAAAGGTAATTTTTTACATGCAGTTTTAGACGAAGCAATGCTTAATGAATTCCACTTTTAAGCACTGCCTGAGCAAGAATGTTAAATGTAAAAGTGTGGCTCAAGATTTTTTGCCACTGAATTCGTTTAACTTGGCATTGCCTTTTAAGAGTTTGTTGTGTGAGGATGAAAAGGTGAGATTTTCTTTTTCGGAAGGGAGATAATTAGTGTTGGTTGCTTATATATAATCCTTCCAGCTTAATATCAAGCGCTAAATAGGTCCTGGCTTTGAGGATGTACTGTTACCAGTATACTTATTGGCCTTGAAATAGCTAGAGCTTTATTGAAGATCAAATTGTTGTTCCATTTCAGTCATCGGGATGATAGATGGTCAGATGATCATTATGAAAGAGAGAAAAGAGAAGTTGACTGGAACTTCCACAAAGACAGCTTTTTCTGCGACGTTCCAAGTGAGTGGCATTGTAGATGAAGAAATCCCTCTCCAGTTGCTTAGCTTTCAAGATTGAACATGGTTATTATCTAGTCTGATAGCAGTATGTGACAGATATTCACACAGCTTCATGTTTTTATCATGCTTTAAGGGATTTTAGCTTAATTACTCTTTATTTCATGAAGTCAGTCAACTACTAATGTGGATTTATTTACTTGTAATAAAAATCAATAAGAGAGAGATGACTTGAGTTATATTCAGTTCTAAGGAAGATATAAATCTAATAAAATTCTTTACCTTTCCCCAAATTTCAAACTATTTTTAAAATTCCCTGTACTATTTAAAAGATATCCTAGATCAAGTAATAAGTCCATTTTTTTTTTTACTGAACCCTGAAGTAATCTGTATTATCAAAAATATTATTTTAAAGTTTAGATTCATTCAAAAAGTATGTATTAAGAGTCTTCTGTGCGCCTGCTGCTATGAGTCAGAATCGATTTGATGGCAATGGGTTTTTTATGTGCCTGCCTCAGCCCTAGGCATTAGAGATAAAGAGGTGAACGAAAATAAAGTGCGGGGGTCCAAAGCTTGAATGCCTTAGGGACCTGGCACAGAACGTGAATGATGAAGCTAGCTGGGTATAAGACAGTAGGAAGTGGTGGTGACTGTAGTCTTGCAGAAATGAGGGCACCGTGTTGCAGGAAATTCCCAGAGACCAGGAACCCAGATTTGAACGTGGACTCCCCAGGCCTCTGAGTGTTGACAACAAATTCACTGTGCAGGCTAAACAAAATTTGTTGTAGCTTGAAGAGTCAGCCTGAGCACTTTGCAGCTGCCAGGGAAGAAGGAGCTCATGGCCCAGAGGAAATACAGTAAAACCTGTGAAGGCTGGAACCTGTGTGAGACAGAAACATGTCAGAGAAGGAAAACGCAAGTATTTTCCACTAATAGAGAGCGATAGAAAAGTGCTGAGACTGCACCCTGTCAAAGGTGGAGAACTTGCAAGACCTGGAAAAACAAGGCAGTCCCGTGGCGTTCCGACTCTAACAGATTTCACTGTACGTGCGTATATAAGGAGCCCCTGGGCAGTGCCGATGGTTAAGTGCTGGACTAGCCCCAGCGTGCCTCGGAAGTCATGCCTGGTGATCGTCTTCCAAAAGGTCACAGCTTTGAAAACCCTGTGGAGCAGTTCTGCTCTGCACACATGGGGTCTCCATGAGTTGGAATGGACTCTCTGGCAACTAACAATATCAACATATCAGTCATTGATTAGCCTTAGTGATGAGGAGCCGGGAGTTGTGGATAATTATAATTTCTGATAATCCAAATATTAACATTAAAGCTCTTTTTGTTTCACCCTCTTTTGCTGAAAATCCCTCTTGAATGTGTGTTTTATTAGATTGCTAGAGGGCCTGATTGGACCTTCTGGTGTTTCTAGATGTTGCCAAGCCGCAAGGTCTTCATTGTGAACACTGTGTCACTGTAGCAATAGATAAAAAGTAAAAGATGGCCAGAATCTCACACTGATCCCAGAAAGCAATACAAGTTTCTTTTTCTGTCTCTTCTCTTAGAATGCATACAGTGAAACCTGTGAGAGCCAGAACTTGACAAGCATGCCTTGTTCTTCCAGCTCTCGAAGGGGTTTGCCATTGACAGGGTGCAGTCTTAATGCTTTTCTATCACTCTGTTACCGGTAGTCCCTGATTTACCATGGGGTTCCCTTCCAACAACTGTGTTTTAAGTCAGTTCTGATGTAAGTCAAATACCTCACTTTTTTTTTTTTAGTTTTCATTATTATTGCTTTTTATTATCAGTATCTTTGTAAATCTGATCTTTATTTGCCTTTGGAGGCTGGCATGAGAATGACAACATGAGCAAATTGTGCGCTGCAGCGTCATATGTAGTACATATTACTAACGATAAGATGTACCAAAAAAACAGCGACGGTCATAAGTGTGGTTCGTCATAACTCAAATACAACATAAGGCGGGGACTACCTGTAGTGGGAAGTGTTTTGAGTTTTCCTTCTCTGATAAGTATCTGCCTTGCTCACGTTCAGACTTTCGCAGGTTTTACTGTTAGAAAATTTGAACTCTGGTTAGTTGCGTGTTCTGGCTAGTGATTTCTCTCAAAGTGTTACTATATGTTATTGCTTAACCAACATCTGTTAGTTCATATCTTAACCAGCAAGAACATTAGCAAATTCATGAAATCAAGTCTTGTTTGTATTTCAGTCATCAACACTGAATTTTTGTTGCCTAAGTACTAGGTCCTGCCTTGACTAAAGCCATTACTGGCTCCTTGTAAATGAAAATGTCTCAGTGTTCACAAGGCTCATGTAGCTCTCCAAAATAAATGAACATCAGATAATAGCCATCTGAGGGACACAAGAGTTTACTTAAGAAAACTTCCTGGTTATGAATAAAACCTCATGTAATACTTGAATCATAAATTTGAAGATGGGATTTTCTTTGTTACTGTAATTAGGCATTTTAGATAATGTAAAATAAATCTGTGTTGTTTTACTTGGTTAGTATTAAGTCTTTTTTAATGACTGAGGAGACAGGAACAATATTTATTGAGCACCTATTTTTCATTATGTCATTTAATTCTCAAGTAGATGTTGCTGTCTCTATTTTACAAAGAAGGAAACTAGGACTCCAAGAAGTTCTTAGGTGCCTGGGGCCACACAGCTAGCACCCAGGCTTGACTCCAAAGACCATGCTCTTTGCAGTGTGTCACATAACTCCCTTACTCAGTAACATGTTTTGTATTAAACTGATTTCCGAAATAAGTTTTCTAGACTTCTAGTGTTCCAGAGGGACCATGTACTCCACCAAAATGTGGATTGTGTCTATGATGCTGGCAGCATTCTGTACTCAGTTGAATGTTTTTGGTGCTTTGAAATCCATCACCTGTCATCTTTCCTCTCTAGTTAGCTGCCAAAGAGAACATCTTTATAATCCGTTCCTGATATTCCCTAGTGCATCATCCTTTGATTTTATATACCATTATGGTAATGTGTTCTGAAATTGAGAGTGAGGCACTGAATTAGTTTCCTGCTGAAAGTTCTTCTGGATTATTCTTTCTAATTATAGACGAATCAGAAATAGATTTGTTATATAATTCCTGCAATTTTAAGATGTAGTAAGTAGAGAAGGGCTTTGAGCGAAGGTAATATTATAGCATTGCTTTTTTTTTTTTTTTTTTTTTTTTAACATTTTTAAACATTTTCTCCTGGAATTCATCGAAGGAAAGGATTCCCTGCTGCTAATGAATTGTCCATATGGCTTTCCAGTTCAAATTGTTTCTGAATGCTGAGGCTTATAAAATAAAAGAATAATTTATAAATCTTTTTCTTTTCTCTTTTCATATCACCAGGTGATCGATATTCCAGAGTGGTATTTACTTCAGCTGGAGGGGAGACACTATGGAATTTACCTGCAATTAAATCAATGTGCAATGTAGATAATTCGAGGGTATGTAAAGTAAAACTGAAATCTCTTTAACACAAATAAGGGTTTATTATTGAAACTCCTTTACTGCTGACCCTGCTGTCTTATCAGAAGATGAAAGTACTTAAGTGGCTTACCTACTGAAGAGGCAACACCAGCAGGCCAACTTTGCATTCTTTCAGATCCCAGGATCAAAGTGTCTCTGTGCTTCCCCACCCTTAAAACAGACCATCTTCCTTATAATAAAGAACTCTTTCTTTCCCTGTCGTGTTCTCTCTCCATAATGGTCTTTTTTATTTTTTTATTTCACATCATATTTCTTTTCAGGATGGTGGTTAAGGCTTTTTCTCATTCTTTTGTTGTATTTTCTTTCTTTCTTTCCGTCTCTCTGTCTCTCTTTCTCTTTAGCCAATAGGAAGAACTAGTCTGCATTGTTCCTATATTTCCCCCTGAGGTGGTTCTTAGCATCTTAATTAAGCCGGCCTCTCTGGCAATCAGTGGGTCATTTGCGCCAGTGACCTCAAAGGAAAATTTAGGGCCCAGGCTGGGGAAGGGAACATCAAAGGGCACAAATACAGTATCTGTGTAAATGGCCGGAGTAATCCAACGCAGATTGTCCTGAGCTCTAAATGCCTTGCTGCTTTAGAAGCCGGTAGGATGCAAGGAGACAGGCCCTTCCTCTCTGAGTCTTCTCTAAAGCCCAAAGAATGTCAGCACCAGATATTAGGAAGTTCACCTCTGGGCTTGGAAGAGCTGTCAATTTCATGTCTCCAGGGGCAGTTTCTCAAAGTAGAAGCTGCTATCTAATGTCACTAATGGACCTGTCCAAGCACAGTAACCAGGCAGAAAAGGAAGTCAGTGTATTCCTAGCACAACTCTAAAAGGCAAAGTCACTGCTTAGTTAAAAGTCCAGCCCTGCTAAGAGCTGTCCTGACTACCTGATACAATCACATGGTCTATCAACCCACCCACTGCCGTCGAGTTGATTCTGACTCATAGCTACCCTATAGGACAGAGTAGAACTACCCCACAGGGTTTCCAAGGCTGTAATCTTTACAGAAGCAGACTACCGCATCTTTCTCCCATGCAGCGGATGGTGGGTTCAAACCACTAGCCTTTCGGTTAGCAGCCTAGCACTTAACCACTGTGCCACCAGGGCTCCTTTTGGTCTATCAACAGGGTGTCTCGTGGAATAGTAGATAGAAAGGACCGTTAGAGGTCACCTTACCAGTAGTCTCATTGTGCTGATACACGAGTACTTCTGAGAACTGAATGGCTTACCCAGGTCTCCTAGTTAGTTGGTCCGAGATCCACTGGCTTTACTCCGTTCTTCATTCCAAGAGACTGTTTTGTACATTTTGAAAATAGCTTTCCCATTGATTGGGACATCAGGACTTTCTGTGAGTGTCATCTTTTCTCTGTCCAACTCCAAATAGACCAAAGCCACAAACCATCTGTAAACATACCGAAGTTCCTTAACTTTTGTTTGCCTTATTTTCTTCTACAGCTATCAGTTCATTATTCCAAGGCTAAGAATGCATTTCTCCTTGTCATGGGTTTCAACCCTTCTTGTATAGAAATTAACTCTAAAGTAGTAAATGTCTGCAGAGTACGTACTATGTGCAAGACTTTATGCTAGGTACTTTACATCTCTCTCAGAACCCGGGTGGCGTAGTGGTTCAGAGCTACAGTTGTTAACCAAAAGGTCAGCAGCTTGAATCCACCAGCTGCTTCTTGAAAACCCTATGGGGCAGTTCTACTCTGTCCTGGAGGGTCACTATGAGTCGGAATCGACTTGACAGCAACGGGTTTGGTTTGGTTTTTTTTGGTTTACATCTCTTATAATGAGCCTGTGGCCTTGAAATTATAACACCTTTTAACAAATGAGAAGTTAAACTTAGAGAAGTTTAAGTTTAGAGACGATAAGTCAGTCTGATTACTTTATAACACAGCTTGAATAAGAATAGTTCATTGACGCCTATGCTAGTTAATCCTCATTATTCTACCTTTGCAGTTGATCTTCAGACCTTCCCTCCCCTGAAAACCCTGACATGACTGAATTCATGCAAATGATTAATAGCTGATGTTTATTGAGTATTACTGTATGCCAGAAAGTGTTCTAAACACCTTAATGAATTGTTTAATCCTCACGACAGTATTATGAGTTAAATATTGCTATTTTGCCCATTTTATAGATGATAAAAGTCCACACAGTTGGTAAGTGGCAGGCCCAGAATTGGGACCCAGCCCAGTCTAACTCAAGTTTGTGCTTTTACCCACCATGCTTTACACTTCCATAATGAAGAAGATGAGCCCACCACCACTGCCGCCATGTTTTGTTTTGTTGTGTTTTCCTATACCCGCCATTTCCCACTCAGTAAACCTCTTAAGAGCCATCATGGCCTGGAATAAGTATCTTTTTTTGTTTTTTTAAAAGAGCTAGCGATTTATTCTTTGAGTACGTTAAACTCTGAATGGACTCAAAGACTCAAGAGCCAATAAACAGTACTGTGTCATTATAACTTCTATAAACAAAAGCAGTGTATTATTTCATCACTCTGTGTGTATCAGATTATAAAAGTCAGCATATTGAGATAGCCTACAAAAAGGCGTATGCCAAAGATAAATAAGTTGAATGAATTATATGAAAGGAAAATAAGAAAGCTAAGGGTAATACTTAGCATACATAAATGCATACCCCACAGTCCTGTAATCTGCTGGTGGTGAGCTGCAAACTTGTCTCTAACCTCTCTGGAAGCCAGAAGAAAAAAGAGTTAACAGTCAGTGACAAAAGTCATAGAAATAAGGCAACAAATTAGCTGTTTTTAGGAGAAATTCAGCTTTTCCTCATACTGCAACAGGACCATTTCCCATAACCTTCGTAAAGGAGTACTCTGTGATGCTGTTTACAAAGTTCTTAGCAGCACACTTCCAAGAGGTACAGTGTTGAGTCTCAGCTCATTTGTAAAACATATCTCAGGTAGGTTGATAGCAGGACAGTGTTATAGCAAAAGCATTTCTACAAGAGATTAAACAGTGAAACCTAAGCATGTGGCTTTCTAATGGTTTGGCTTGATGCATTTGTAAAATTTGGGCTATCTAAAGGAATAGATGTACCCTGCTTGCCTGAGTATTTTCCCCTACTGGGCTCATGATAAGGTTTGGACAGTCAAGAGATCAAGTTTGTAAAACCTGGCAAGAACATGGTGTCTTAGTTATCTAGTGCTGCTGTGATAGAAATACCACAAATGGATGGCTTTAACAAAATGGAATTTATTCTCTCACAGTCTAGGAGGTTAGAGTCCAAATTCAGGACATCAGTTCCAGGGGAAGGCTTTCTCTCTCTGTCAGCTCTGGGGGAAGGTCTTTGTCATCAGTCTTCTCCTGGTCTAGGAGTTTCTCAACACACAGACCGCAGGCCCGAAGGACAAGCTCTGCTCCTGGCTCTGCTTTCTTGGTGGTTAGCAGACATAACTCTTAACCACTACACCATGAGGATTTCCTTTTTGGTGGTAGGAGGTCCTTATCTCTCTGCTTCCTTCTCTTCTCCTTTTATCTCCTGTAAGATAAAAGGTGATGTAGGCCTTACCCCAGGGAATCTCCCCTTCCATCAGATTAGGGCTGTGACCTGAGTAAAGGTGTTGCATCCCACCCCAATCCTCTTTAACATAACCTAATCTTGCCTCATTAACCACAGGCGGAGATTAGAATTTAACAGCATAGGAAAATTACATCAGATCACAAAATGGAGGACAACCACACCATACCGGGAATCATGGTCTACCTGAGTTGACACATATTTTGGGGGGACACAATTCAGTCCATGACACATGGCAAGCATATTTTCCAGGTCACCGATGGAGAGCATAACTGTTTGCTTTGGCTAGTAATTGGGAAGAGGGGGTAGAATTGTGGTCTTCTTGTGAAAATTTGAAGAACAACCAAAACATATGTCAGAATAGTCAGATATAGACAAGCGAATAAAAGGTAATCAAGACCCCAGAGTTCTTCCGCAAAGAGAGCATGGTTATAATTTTAGCACGGAAAATTGAGCACTGTTTTTTACCAATTGCAAATACCTTTGTATTCTAATTTCAAACTCTGCTATGAACCCAGATAATAAACTTTTTCATGGAGTTAATTTATTCATCTGGTCTCTTGAAGTAAAAACTATGGTTGACAGTTCAGATTTCAAATGATCACTGGACCATTTTCAAGTCTCTCAGCTCAAGACCCTTTTAGGATTTTTATTTGTTAACGGTGGTTTGAGCAAACTGTGTCCTTCGACTATTTGGCAATCTTTATTTTCTCCTTCAAATCCTAGTTATTGTACTTAAGCACTTGATTGTTAACAACTATCAAGTTGAATGGGACAACTCAAAATGATATAGAGCAGAAGAACTTAATTGCTGGTGGGTTGACTCCAGAAAATGTCTGGTAATCAGTGTAATGTCTCAGTGAGACCAGATGTTTCAGTTGTCGCCTGCCTGTGTTTACAGCACATTTAGTTCAAACTCCAGATTCCATTTAAATTACATGCCACTTATAATTCAGACAAGCATCGGTTTCCAAAGTGAGTAGCTTCTGTTTCTGATGATGTTGTCCACCTCCTAACAGAAGTACTATTTTCTTAGATTCTCTCAAAAGGAGCTGCAGTTGATTCCCCTGATCTTGATTACTTCTTCCTGCCTTTTGCCATCCTGAGGATGCCAGATAGTCATCAGTGACCAGAAGTGTGGAGTTTTCTTAACTAGACTCTGCTGGAGACCGTTTACCATTTCTTAGTTTTTGCACATTGTAGAAGTTAGAGTTTTCAGGAATCAGCTTGTAAAATGAATTTGAAATTTGGTGCCTGAGACCCTGTTGACTGCGGTTTAACTTTTGTGGACAGATAGAATCCCCTCCAATCTTACAGGACCCCAGAATCCTGGTTTTAAAGGGGGCCATAGAGCCCTCATTTTTTCTTTCCCCCCAAGGCTCCCCTTAAGTGTTAAAGAAGGGAGAGTCCAGCATCAAGTGAACCTGGTGTCAAGAGCTTAATTTTTAGGGGCTTTGTTCTTTTCTTGGCCTTTAAAGTTTCTCCAACTTAGCCAGTAGTTGTAGAAGTCAAGATTTCATTAAAAACTTGGCTTGTTTCTCTTTTTTATTCGTTCTTCTCTTCCTTTACCCCCGTTTTAAGTCAACTCCACCCTTGCTGCTGCCTAACAAGGAAAGTGGGTGCAAAGACATAACCACATGAGCAAAATGATCCCCTAAACGTGCAATCTGTGAATAACCAGAATCAGAAGGGCTGTATTCCCCATGAGAATTACAAGGAATTGCTCTCACTAACCAAATTTTATTTTTATAAACTTCAAAGATTTTGAAATTATTCCCCTGAATCCCTTTTCCAAAAATATGGCAAAAATATATAGCTGCCTTCTACATGAAGATATATCTGCTTGCCAGTCTCTTTAAGCCCCACGATATTTCCCTCTGTATTTAGCTTCTTGCTCATGAAAGACTTTGGCGCCACTTTCCCACTGCACTTGCGGTTGTTGGCACTCCCTCCTTGGTTCACATGGGCCTTTACTCATAAAGCAATACTTCAGTTACGGAGTTATAATTATTTATATTGTCTGATTTCCCTGCCACACTGAACACCTTGAGGGCAAGGACCACTGTGCCTTATCTCGTGTAAGTGCTCAACAAATATTTTTTTCTTCTGGATAGATGAATGGATGGACAGGTGGATGGATGGATGGGAACGCAGGCCTTCCTCCCTGAAAGCCTAGACAATTCCTTGAGTTCCATTCCTTTAGCTTCAGGTGCTGGTATCCAACTCAGGTTAGCTAAAGAGGCCAGTCACAATGGCATTTCTCTGTGCTCACTTCTTACCCTGTAAGAATCCTTTAAAGAACCCGGTGGTGCAACAGTTAAGCACTTGCTGCTAGCCAACCTACCCAGCACCTCTGTGGGAGAAGGACCTGGCAGTCTGCTCCTGTAAAGATTACAGCCTAGAAACCGCTATGGGACAGTTTTACTCTGTCACACAGGGTCGCTATGAGTCAGAAATTGACGCAGTAGCACCTAACAACAGCAGCAACACAGAGTCCTTTAAAATTGTTTTTTCTAAAGCTTGTATATCAGCCGCCGCCACCTTTGAATTTGAGGATTGGCTCCCCAGTGACTTAGTACTAGCGTTTATTTGTGATAGCAGCCATCAGAGTAGTATTTGGTCTGTGTTTATCATGTCCAGCTTTTTAATCTTTGGATTATACCCATTTAAAACACTCTGCTCTTATTTGAAAAGGTTATTCAAGGACAGAAGTCTATGCCTTCGTTCCCAATTTTAGCCGGCAGCCCTATTTCCTTTATCTTTGGCAGTTGGTTATTTCAGCAACTGTATTCCTTCTAGCTGATAGTGGGTTTCATAATGGATACAATTCATTTTCTTTCATCTGAAAACTATCAGGCATTGGGGATGCGTTACCGTTCTTTCAGTTCACCAGGCTGACCCCAGGGGCTTACATGTTATTTCTTTGTGGGGTAAAACTGGTTATCTGCCACGAAACCAGAGAGATGCTATTCTAGGGTTTCCTGTTATTTCTTAGTTGGCTCACTCTTCCCCAAGTTAGCATATGTGAATGTTTTTACCTGGAAACAATCAAATATGAATTCTCCTGTTTTCTGGAATGCCAAGTAATTGTTGCTCTCCAGAAAGGAGCTTAAAAATTAAGCCTGTGTTAAAGTAAATGTTATTTTAGTGCATTTGAATAATAATCCTTTTGGCTCACTTTTCTTTAACTCCAATAGATGATCTTTAAAAAAAAGAAAAGAAACAGAACTTTTTACTGGGGAAAGTTTCAAATATATGCCAAAGTAGAGAGAATAGTATAATGAATCTCCGTGTGTAGCTCACCCAACTCCAACAGTTATCAGCAGGTGGCCAATCTTGTTTCATCTACTTCGCCAGCCCCACAGGAGTAGTCTTGAGGGTGTTGAGGAGCCCTGGTGGCACAGTGGTTAAGCAGTTGGCTGCTAACGGAAAGGTTGGTGGTTCCAATCCACCAGTGACTCCACAGGAGAAAAAACCTGGCAGTGTGCTCCCCTAAAGGTTACAGCCTAAGAAACCCTATGGGGCAGTTCTACTGTGTCTTACAGGATCGCTATGAATCAGTATCGACTCGGCACACAACGGCAACAAGGGATTATAAGTCAGTTGGTTCTGGGATAAGTCCAAATTCCAAAGAGATGATTTATGGTGACTTCTCCTCCAGCACACCATTGATAAAGCCTAGTTTAATAAAGTTAAAGGGTGTTCTTTAATCCTACTAGGAAACAAATGTTCATACCCTCCTTGAACTTTGTAGTTTCTTCCCTGGAACAGCCTTTGGTAAGTAGAGACGACGGAAAGTCAGTAGAGATGAGGGATAAAGTCATCTTTAACTCTGGTACTTATGAAGAGAACTGTCTGCATAGGCTCAAGAGGAAGGAGAATATTTCTTATTTTCACTTTCAGGAAAGAGAGACCATTTATCTAATTTACAGATTTTTACAGGGATAAATTTATACAGGCTTCACCATAATCTGGTAATACCAGTAATGGCACAATTTTGCAATCTTCTGTAATAAAAATAGCCATAAGAAGAAAAGTCTTCTCCAGGAATAGTGTTCTAAATGAAATACTGCCCACATTAAACCCAGAATTACCATATTTGCTAATATACGGCAGTCCTCCATTTACCAAAGGAGAAGATTCCCCAAAAAAGAGTTTTCATCAACTTGTGTACACTTTTAAGAATATGAAAGAAAACTAAGTCTCTACTTAAGTAATGTATTATCTTCATTGCATGTATTTATTTAAAATCACATATAAATAATATTTTCATTTAGAAATATTGCCCTCTTCCACTTACATTTCAGGAAACAGTGTTATTCCAAGTATTTCACACACCTTTGACAGCAGTGCCTTTGATATTACCAGAGTTACTTGTTAAGTTACTGACAGTTTTCTAGGGTATATCATTTTTGCTTCCAACTAAGTTGATTGAGATACAATATTTTTGTCACCAAAACTTTTATGCCAATAGCAGAAACATTAGGCAAAGCCACAAATTTCTCATGTATCAGTTGGACAGTGTTCTTAATCCTATAGGTGATACAAGAGCTTCTCAACCTGTCCACTTTATTGCTTTTTCAAGTGTTTTTTAAAAGTCTTGTCTACTAAATAGGTGTTAATTTAGTCTCTTTGTTTAAACGAAGGGAGCATTGGTTGAGATTGTTTCACATTTCCATGTCATCCCCAAACAGTAGCTTATTGTTCAAAATAAAGTAACCCTGTAATATGAGAGCATAACCCTGTAATGTAGAACCCTGTAACAGAGAGCGAGCACCCTGTATTAGGAGCTTGTTCTAGGGGGACATCTCACCTTGTATTCAAGCTGAGACCTAGTGTAAGAGGATGATTATTTAACTCTTGTAACTTTCCCTGTACCTAAGTCAGACCTTTCAGGGAACCGATTTTCATCCGCAGTCCTTCTGGTGTCTCTGTCTCTGCAGATCAGATCCCACCCCCAGTTTGGCGATCTCTGCCAGAGGACCACTGCTGCGTCCTGCTGCCCCAGCTGGACGCTGGGGAACTACATCGCCATTCTGAACAACAGATCGTCCTGCCAGAAAATTGTCGAGCGGGACGTTTCTCATACCTTGAAGCTGCTTCGGACCTGTGCCAAACACTACCAAAATGGCACTCTAGGGCCAGACTGCTGGGACATGGCGGCCAGAAGAAAGGATCAGCTCAAGTGCACCAGTGTGCCTCGAAAATGTACCAAGTACAATGCTGTGTACCAGATCCTCCATTACTTGGTAGACAAAGACTTCATGGCCCCAAAGACGACTGACTATCCCATGCCAGCTTTGAAGTACAGCATGCTTTTCTCTCCTACAGAGAAAGGAGAGAGTATGATGAACGTTTACTTGGACAACTTCGAAAACTGGAACTCTTCTGACGGCGTAACCACCATTACGGGGATTGAGTTTGGTATCAAACACAGCTTGTTTCAAGACTATCTTCTAATGGATACTGTGTATCCTGCCATAGCCATTTTGATTGTCCTGTTAGTCATGTGCGTCTACACCAAGTCTATGTTTATCACTCTGATGACAATGTTTGCGATAATCAGTTCCTTGATTGTTTCCTATTTTCTCTATCGCGTTGTATTTAACTTTGAGTTTTTTCCTTTTATGAACCTCACTGCGCTCATTATTTTGGTTGGAATTGGAGCAGATGATGCTTTTGTCCTGTGTGATGTTTGGAACTACACCAAATTGGACAAGCCTCATGCCGAAACTTGGGAAACAGTGAGCATCACCTTGCAACACGCCGCCCTCTCCATGTTTGTCACCAGCTTCACCACTGCAGCGGCCTTTTATGCTAACTATGTCAGCAACATCACAGCAATCAGATGCTTCGGGGTTTATGCGGGCACAGCCATCTTGGTGAATTACGTCTTGATGGTCACCTGGCTTCCAGCAGTTGTGGTCCTACATGAGCGATACCTCCTTCATATGTTCAGTTGCTTCAAAAAGCCCCAGCAGCAGATCTATGATAAGAAGAGCTGCTGGACAGTGGCTTGCCAAAAATGCCATAAAGTAGTTTTTGCCATATCAGAAGCATCTCGAATTTTTTTTGAAAAAGTGTTGCCGTGCATTGTCATTAAGTTTCGCTACCTTTGGCTGGTCTGGTTCCTCGCCTTCACTGTAGGCGGGGCCTACATTGTGTGTATCAACCCAAAGATGAAGCTCCCCTCGTTGGAGTTGTCTGAGTTCCAGGTGTTCAGGTCGTCTCACCCTTTTGAACGTTACGATGCCGAGTACAAAAAGCTTTTCATGTTTGAACGTGTTCACCATGGAGAGGACCTCCACATGCCCATAACAGTAATCTGGGGTGTGTCCCCCGAAGACAATGGCAATCCACTAAATCCCAAGAGTAAAGGGAAGCTGACTTTAGACAGCAGCTTTAACATTGCTAGCCCAGCTTCCCAGGCCTGGATTTTGCACTTCTGTCAGAAACTGAGAAATCAGACCTTCTTTTACCAGACTGATGAGCAAGACTTCACCAGCTGCTTCATTGAGACGTTCAAGCAGTGGATGGAAAACCAGGACTGCGACGAGCCTGCCCTGTACCCGTGCTGCAGCCACTGGAGCTTTCCCTACAAGCAAGAGATTTTTGAACTGTGCATCAAGAGAGCCATCATGGAGCTGGAAAGGAGCACCGGCTACCATTTGGATAGCAAAACCCCGGGGCCACGGTTCGACATCAATGACACTATCAGGGCAGTCGTGCTAGAGTTCCAAAGTACCTACCTCTTCACTCTGGCTTATGAAAAGATGCATCAGTTTTATAAGGAGGTGGACTCATGGATTTCCAAAGAGCTGAGCTCCGCGCCCGAAGGCCTCAGCAATGGTTGGTTTGTCAGCAATCTGGAGTTCTACGACCTTCAGGATAGCCTGTCCGACGGCACCCTCATTGCCATGGGGCTCTCAGTTGCTGTTGCATTCAGTGTGATGCTCCTTACCACTTGGAACATCATAATAAGCCTTTATGCCATCATTTCTATAGCTGGAACAATCTTTGTGACTGTTGGTTCTCTCGTCCTGCTGGGCTGGGAGCTCAACGTGTTGGAGTCCGTCACCATTTCAGTTGCAGTTGGCTTGTCCGTAGACTTTGCCGTCCACTACGGGGTTGCTTACCGCTTGGCTCCGGATCCCGACCGTGAAGGGAAGGTGGTCTTCTCCCTGAGTCGCATGGGCTCTGCGATTGCAATGGCTGCTGTGACCACCTTCGTGGCGGGGGCCATGATGATGCCGTCCACTGTGCTGGCTTACACCCAGCTGGGCACCTTCATGATGCTGATTATGTGCGTCAGCTGGGCTTTCGCCACTTTCTTCTTCCAGTGTATGTGCCGGTGCCTTGGACCGCAGGGGACCTGTGGTCAGATTCCATTACCTAAAAAACTACGGTGCAGTGCCTTTCCCCATGCCTTGTCTGCGAGTCCTGGTGACAAGGGACAGAGCAAAACACATACCGTGAATACATGTCATTTAGATCCCAGGGGCCAAAAGTCTGAAATGGAGCATGAGTTTTATGAATTAGAACCTCTGGCATCCCACAGCTGTACTGCTTCTGAGAAGACCACTTATGAAGAGACCCACATCTGCTCCGAACTCTTCAACAGCCACACAAAGAATTTAAGGATGCCCATGCATGCAGCTTACGGCAGTGAGCTCAGCAAAAGCACCAGAAACGAAACAAGCTCTGCCTTGTTACAGCCCCCTCTTGAACAGCACACCGCGTGTCAGTTCTTCTCTCTGAATCGGGGGTGTAGCTGCCCCAGTGCCTACAAACATCTGAACTACGGCCCGCACTCCTGCCAGCAGCTGGGTGACTGCTTGTGCCACCAGTGTGCCCCTTCCGCTAGCGGCTTTGTCCAGATCCAGAACGGCGTGGCACCGCTGAAGGCTGCACACCAGGCCCCCGATGGCTTCGTGCACCCCATCCCGCACGTCCACGCCTGCCCCTGCCTGCAGGGAAGACTGAAGCCGCCTGGGCTGCAGAACTCTCTGCTGAGGGATTTTTTCCTTCACCCAGTGCAGCACATTCAGACCCCAGAAAAAATTGGGAAGACCAGTGTACACGGTCTTCAGAGCATAGAAGAGCATCTTCCAAAGATGGCCGAGCCATCGCCGCTTGTCTGCAGGAGCACTGGATCTTCAGTGAAAGCTGGTGGTGATGCAGAGACTAGCCAGAGGGGATTCTGTGAAAACAGAGACACGGGGAGTACGGAGGGCGGCGGAGGGACCCAGAAGACGGATTCTAGTTCAGCGCATCAGACCGACAAGGCAGAAAGCAAGGTGGAGCTGAGCTCGTCACAGACTGATGCCATCGTGAACTCAGAACATCGAAATCAGAGTGAACCAAAATTTATATTTAACCATTTCGTGGGGGAGGCTGGTTATGTGTCCTGCCCAAACAATCCACAAAGTTGTGGCAGAATTGTGAGAGTGAAGTGCAATTCTGTGGACTGTCAAATGCCAAACATAGACGCCAATGTGCCTGCTGTATTAACACACTCGGAACTTTCTGGTGAAAGTTTGTTAATCAAAACACTTTAATAAATAGAGCATTAAACTCAGAACCAGTGCCTTAGTCGGTCTTTTGAAATGGAAGTGAAATCCAGAACTTTAGGAAGTGAGCCCCCGAATACGGCCCCCAAAATGATTTTTGTTAAAAATTGTAGAATATAGAGCAGACTTGAATGAACAAGTTCACAAATCTAAGGAGGAGTGTTGGTTGATGATGGAATTTTTTTTTTTAAGTATGGTTCTTTTATATGTTTGTAGCCAGTTTGAAAAATAATTCCCATTTCCCTCCCAAAGCAGTGAATCAGAGATTTCAAGTTTGAATTACCTAGACATTTCCGTTCTCCCAGTCACTCATATTTACCTAATATCCTCATTCTGGTGCATTTGGTTGGCAGTATTCAGGAGTTTTGATGGCTCAACATAATTGCTAGAAAATTGCCCTAGTTTTAATAGAGCCCCTTCAGTTGAGATTCAGCCTTACAAGAACTAAACAACATTAAGAGTTTATATTTTTGGTGAGGACTTATTTAAACGCTAGTTACCAGGCATTGTAATAGTGTATTCCACCTGTCTGCGTGAGCAGACTTTACATGAAGCCAGTGATGCATTGATACCCACATTGGTGTCTTTTTCCAAATTAGCCAAAATTCACATTTGTTCGGTAATTTCACCTACTAACCCAGGGATCCTGGGCGTCGTCTTGTGTCAGGCGACAGTTATGTTAGTGCCATAGAAGAACAAGCGTGGATGGAGAGACATTTGTTACCCCAAACAGTGCTACACTACTGAGGACAAATTGCATGTTGATGAAGACGGATCCTGGTCGGATGGATCCATAGTCCCTGGAAGCTTTCAGTGGAGGGAGCTGGTTCTGTGACAAGTTTTGCTTCCATCTCTAACCCTAAGGGGACAAGTTCAGGCGGCTTCTTTCTCCTGTTTTGGTGAGCTAACACTGTTTCCAGACACGTAAGGATGATTTTATTGTGCGGCTAACACCTGGAAATGCTGAGCCTTCAGGCAGTATCTTAGATGACACTTGTGTATCTTGTGTTAGATCAGCCTGCAGTAATCGAGCTGTTGGAGCACGCTTTCTGGGTAATATTTCAGATAACAGTCCTTGTAACAGCATGTCATCTGATACTAAGTGCATTACAGCCAGTGCAGGGACAGCCCCACTGCCTTCTCTTTCCTTTTGTGACTCTGCCTTGCATTTGCTCCTCTGAAGAAAACTCGTGGAAATATTCCTAAATGCAGTGTTCTTTACGAGTGTTACGTTAACTGTTTTCCAAATCAGATCTTCTTATTAGTCTAGGGCCTAAACAAAGCTGTCTAAAGTTGGAAGGGATCGTGTGGGTCATGGAATCCAGTCCACCTCCGCCAAACCACGTTTCTGTTAAAATGGGTTTCCAGCTTCTGCTTCAATGCTTCTGTGACACGTAGCTCACTGGATGTCCACCTTGGTTGAACGAAAATCTGTCATCCTGTAGTTTTCCTACCATTTGGCCCTCAGCCTGTTTGCTGAAGTGTCAACAAACATCTCTGGTCTTTCTTCCACGTGGTAGCCCTTCAGATATTTGGAAAACACAGTAATGTCCTTGCACTAATATCCCCAGTTCAGTAGACTGTTCTTCCAGTTAAAAAGCAGTTAAAACCCGGATGGAGCAGTTGCTATTTCCTCTGAATTTGTTTGTTGAACTCCCTCTCCAGGTGTGGTACCCCAAAACACTCAGATTCACCCCAAGGAGAATAGATGGCACTCCTGTGAATTCACTTAGCAATAGGAATGAACTTTGGCTAAAGAATTACAGCCAACTCTTGTGCAGCTTCAAAAAAACAAAAAACCAAACCCATTGCCGTGGAGCCCATGCCGACTCACGGTGACCCTGTGTGATACAGAGTAGTAACACACGTCATAACTTCTTCCTGGGGCCTCAGTGAAGTTATTGCTGTTGTTGACCTACTGTACCTGTTCTGGCTGTCAGAGAAGGCTAACGAAAGCCAAACCAGTTGCCCTTGAGTCAATTCTCACTCATGGCAACCTCATGTGTTTGGAGTAGTAACTGCTTCAAAGGGTTTTTTTGGGTGTAATCTTTATGGAAGCAAATCACCAGGCCTTTCTTCCACGACGCCGCTGGGTGGGTTCAAACCGCCAACCTTTAGGTCAGTAGTCAAGTGCAAATCGTTTGTGCCACCAGGGACCTTCGTGCAGCTTCCAAAAAAAAAAAAAAACCAATACAACAGAGTAGAACTGCCCCATAGGGTTTCCAAGGAGCAGCTGGTAGATTCAACCTTTTTGGTTAGCAGCCGAGCTCTTAACCACTGCTCCACCAGGACTCCTCATGCGGCTTGTTGTTGTTAGGTGCCGTCAAGTCGTTTCGGACCCATAGCAACCCTGTGTCCAACAGAACAAAACACTGCTTGGTCCTGCACCATCCTCACGGTCACTGTTATGCTTGAGCCCATTGTTGAGCCATTGTGTCAGTGCATCTCTTTGAGGATCTTCCTCTTTTTCGCTGACCCTCTACTTTACCAAGCATGATGGCCTTCTCCAGGGACTGATCCCTCCTGACCACATGCCGAAAGCATGTGAGACGGAGTCTCGCCATCCTTCCTTTGAAGGAGCGTTCTGGCTGTACTTCTTCCAAGACAGATTTGTTGGTTCTTTTGGCAGTCCATGGGATATTCAGTATTCTTCACCAACACCACAATTCAAAGTCGTCAGTTCTTCTTCGATCTTCCTTATTCATTGTCCAGCTTTCTCATGCATATGAGGCCATTGGAAACACTGAGGCTTGGGTCAGGCACACCTTAGTCTTCAAGGTGACATCTTTGCTTTTCAACACTTTAAAGAGGTCTTTTGCAGCAGATTCATGCAGCTTAGAGGGGACTAAAACAACCAGTTCTGTCACGTGTACTGCTGCTAAGCTACCTCTTCAAACCAGTTAGTTTTTTACCCTGAAGTTCAGAACCTTATGTTCATTCTCATTGCACTTAATTCTGTTAGATAAATGAGGGGAAACGAGAAGGGAGCACTTAAAAATAGGACTCACAATACCCAAAACTAGATTGTTTTCTTCCCTTCTGAAATTTGTAACCTTAGAGTTGGCTAGTGAAAATTTAATGGTCAAATGCAGATTGAATTTAAGAGCAATAGGAGACCCAGGAGCCCTGGTGGTGCACTGGTTAAAGAGGTACGGCTGCTAACCAAAAGGTCGGCAGTTCAAATCTACCAGCCAGTCCTTGGAAACCCTGTGGGGCAGTTGTACTCTGTTCTCTAGGGTCACTGTGAGTCGGAATAGACTCGACGGCAAAGGGTATGGGGTAAGGGTGGGAGACGCAAACTTCTTTACAAATAGTCTAACCTGGAAGACTTTCATGTGAGCTAAATGTCCTTTGATTTAGAAAATAAAAACTGGAAAGGAAGGGACTTGGTAGGAGGAGAGGAATGTCCCAAGTCGTCTTCCTGGGGCCTCAGTCAAGCTGTTGCTGTTGCTGACCTACTCGGCCTGTTCCGGCTGTCGGAGGCTAACAAAGGCCAAACCAGCTGCCCTTGAGTTGATTCTGACTCATGGCGACCATGCGTCTCAGAGTAGCACTGTGCTCCATAGGGTTTTCATGGCTGATTTTCTGGAAGTAAATCCCCTTTCTTCCAAGATGCCTCTGGGTAGACTTGAACCTCCAACCATTCAGTTAGTAGCTGAGAGCATTAACGTTTGTACCACCCAGGGGCTCCCGGAGGAGGCAAGAGGAGCGTTTTTCTTCCCAGTTCTGCTTAATTGCCTTGAACCTTGAATGTGGCAGTGACCCCTTTTCACATTTATTTCATTTAGGAACTTAGAATTTACTATTTCCATTTCTTAATGCAGGGATTTTTTTTAAGAATTCATTTGCTGGGAGTAGAAAGCCTTTTTTTTTTCTTTTTTTTTTTAATTCCTCATTATTGGGCAGTAAAGGATTGTTTTTTCCAGTTCTGTTTCACAAATTTCATCCATTGTCCTGGATAATTTGTAAAGCAAATTATACTGAAGAGGTTAAGTTACACTTAGGGAAAAGAGCCCTTACCTCACATTGTGAGATATTTGTAATTTGGAAGGTATTTGATTATGGAAAGAATTTGCATACTGCCTGTTACTATGGTAGAATAAACAGGCAGTCTTCAGAGAATGGCTAGAATGGGGTCTTATTTTAACCTTGTGGAGGGTTTACTTGTAGCCAAATGGGTTTTCCTTCGGTGTTTGAGTCAATGTTACCAAATTTGTTCCTGACTTCTTCCCTGCAAGGTCACTTTTTAAACGCCTGCTTGATTGAAAAAGTGGACTTAGGCCAAGAGCAAGATGTTTTTTTCTGAGACGAGCTGTATTGTTCGAAATAAACAATGCTTCATCTGTGTGTATTCCATAGCTTGTGTGTTGTTACTGTAGAATGCACATCCTTCTAAAACAATGTTCTTGAAAGTTATGCTAAGCTGCTATTAAATTTCATTACAATCATCTACTGTGCCCCAGCCTCAATCGTTCTAGAGTTTAAAACTTTCGCAACGTGCAGTCGGAATAGTAGTTTGACAAATGTGGCCCTTTCGGAACGTTAGGAAATGTTCCCGGCTCAGTGTCTCACATGTAAACCATTTTTCTGTCAGCAGTTAGGATGGTTTCTGAATGAAATATGAGGAAACAATGACTTTGAAAGCAGCTGTATCTTTTCACTTTAATGAGGAGAGTCATTCTAGAAGAAAAAAAAACCTAAAAAACTGAACACTCAATTTTTTTTTCTTTAACGTTCAGGCAGCCACAAAACAGAAATTTATTGTAATCGTGAGGGATTTTTTTTTTGTTTTTTTTAAATGCAGAAGGAACATCATGTTCAAATACCCTTTATACCGTAGTGGGTCTTTCTCAAATTTTTTACTGACATGTAATTTATCTCCACTTGTTATTATATTAATATATACTTTTTTTTTTGTAAAACAGCCACCTTTGTTAATGTTTTATTTTATACACTAACTTTTTCACATCTCTGTATAACATATATAGAGGAAACATGTAAGTAATGAATATTCATGGTAGATTAGTAGAATCTTAGACTTTTTGTTCTTAACAATGTTTAATTGCCCTAATTTTGGATCTTTAGTGGGGAGAAAAAAGATGTCATTTAGCTTTGGAAATCAAAGCACACACACAAACAACTCACTGACTAACCGGGACCAACACAGTTTCCCTCAGCTCCCTAAGCCGTCAGTTAAAGCATGAAGTTAACAACAGCCGTGCCAGCTAGGACACAGGTTACTAACTCGCTGGAGCCCGATGGACGTTTGTTGTACACGTGTGCGACTTCCTGAGATTTGGGGATGTGATTGCTGGTTATAAGTCACTTCAGGGAGGGGGTAAGGAACAAAGCGATGATGTTCTGTGTTCAGAAGTCATAGACCAAGAGAGGGCTCTTCCTAGCCTGGAGGCTCTTCAAGGGTTTCATTTTAAATAGCCTTGAGGACCATATGCTTTTTGAGTAAAACGATAAGTCAGTGGCCCAATGTGTTAAGAGTTGCTCTAAATCACATGCCCAGTGGTGTCACTAGGGGGGTGCAGACCAGAGGGGGTGACACCAAAATGTTTAAAATTTTAGTGTTTCAACAGAAATTTATTGTTTTTTTATAAAAAATATCCCTGTAGTTACTTAAAACAAAAATATTTTTGGTAAGCCCAGCTCCCAAGTATCAATATACCTACCAGGCTAAAACTCTATGCTAACTTACTTTTTGCACCTGCGGACGCGCTCAGGTCATAGCAGTCATTATTACCCAATTACAATGCCGCTTCAAATCACTGGTTTTGGCTGCACGTGCTACACCCACACACTGTTGTTTTGTGGCTGTGGGTGTTTTTATAGTCGATGATATTGTCAAAAATTTTCTGGTGTTTTAGCTACAATACTGTGGTAATTAGCATGGGGGGTGACAGCAACCCTCGTGACGCCACTGCACATGCCCTCTTCTTACGGGATGTGAGCCAATGTTTGACATCCCAGTCAGCACCTCCACTGTCCTCACCTGATGCCTAGAACAGGCTGTTTCTTGACTTTCTCGTGCTTCTCTTAATGATCCTGTGATATCCCCAGCCCTGTGAAAATCACAGTGAAGTCAGACTTCGTGTTTTCA